AAAACTGGAAGCCCTTGAAATTGGAAAAAGAATTGCTCATTATGCCAGTTCAACAATTTGGTATAAAAGCGTTAAAGCTGTCGCCAACCTTCGAAAAATCGGTAATCAGATTTTATAAAATAAAGAGTTTGAGGAAGATTTATTTTTACCTTGAAATTGGTTAGCATTATTAAGTGAATAAACAAAGTAGTGGGTTTCAAATATGCAATATTGGTAGTTTTCGATAATATGGATACCCGCTAGAAGAAACTGAGGTAGAGAAAGTTTTTTATTCTAATAGAAAGTGAGTAGGGATCTCGGCTCACGGGTTTACCGGTTAAATACTTGCTTTCATTTTGTTAACTCGGCAATATCACGTAAGTGGACAGACAGACATCGAAAGACAAATCTATTCGCCACATCATTATTTTATTCATAACAATGTTTACCGATTACTTTTCACTGTCAAATGCTGTCTTAAAATTCATAAAGTTAATATGCCCTGTCCGGGTCTTGAAGATGCAAGCAAAAAGCAGGACAAGAAAACAATAAAAATAAAAAAATTAAAACTAAAATGCATAACAAAACCCAGAATCGAGTATTCGTTTACAATTATATATGTATAAGTATGTATTACTAACGAAATTTTTTGTTAGAAAATATGTTTTACTACATTTTTTTGTGAACAGGGACTGTAACCGGAACAAAGTGGTGGCAGAGAAGAACAAAAATTTGCATTGCATTTTTTGAATTTAGAAATACAAAAAGCTTTGAGGTTACCATACTCGAACATAAACGTCTGTTGTGGTAGTCATTTATGTATGTGCAAAATAATTATATTTTTCTGTGTAAAAACGGATTTATATATTAATTTTTGGGTCAATATGTGCGGGGGCTACCATGGCAAAAACGCAATGTTTTTTTATATTTCTTAGTTTTTGTAAAATGAATTTTTATTTCCTTAAATCTCGTTTACTTAAAAGCTCTATGCGTTGGTTGAACAAAATTTCTGACGCAATAACCTCCCCAACGGTACCAAATCAGTGAAGACTATTAAATTTCAGTTGATATAGATCCAATCATTCGATTTTTCCAAAGCTCTCGATACCGTAAAAAATCATATTCTTCTAAATTGGTTTTAATAGAACAGAATTTAAGGTTATGAGAATTTATTTATGGAACAGATATCAGCAAGTTCAGTGTGGGTAGTTTTACATCACGGAGAGATCAACCCTGAAGTTCCCCAGGGCTCTATTTCGGGTTATTAGCTTACCAATTCAGCCATATGCTGATGATAGTCAAATTTACCTATCACGTCCCATTGGTCTTAGTGAACACGAGTATTTAATAGCTACATTCAGGCCCAACGAGGGGGGGGTGGTGTTTTCATTGTCGTATATAGAATCTTACTGCTGAGACTAGACGGGATGTTGATGGAATTTTAAAATATATTAGCAAATTCGAATGTTTCCTAATGTCATCGATATGGTTCAAGATTTTTACAACAATCAATGACGTTAGTTTGGTTCTGCGAAAGAAAAAAGCCACAATAGATGTTGAAGTCAAAAATCTCGAAAGTCTCTTAGATAATTTGCAGATCTTATGCAACCAGTGGAATGCTATCTTAAAAGAATGTCGAGCAGTTTCCGAACATTTGACGACCACTACGTCAACATTCTCAGTGAGTCGTAAAAAGAAACGAGTGGAAGTTGCACACAAAAATTCAGATGAATATTATACTGATGAAGGAATTGATTTCAAACGTAACACTTTCTTCGTTATCATGGATTCGATCATCGCGGGAATAAGGAGCAGATTTGCCTCAATAAGAGCAATCAACCAAATGTTTCCATTCTTGTGGTTATTTCCGAAAATGGAAGAAGAAGAAGTTCAGACTGCTGCGCTACGTTTTGCTGAAAATACCCTGCTGATGTGTCAATCGAAATATCGTGTGAAATCATTAACTTAAAAAACGTTTATCAGCCTAATTTTGCTGACAGTAGTACAACCCATTTGTCTCCATTCGACTTGTTGAATGCTATCACCACCAAAATTTTAGATAGACTGTTTCCAAACATCTGCATTTCTCTGTGGATATTTCGCACGTTGCCAGTCTCAGTTGCTAGCGCCGAGCGATCATTTAGCGTACTTTCAAGAATAAAGAACTATCATCGTTCTTGTTCAAGCCAATCACGAGTCTCAGGACTGGCAACGTTATGTTTGGAATTTCAATTACCTAGAAAACTTGAATTCGGTATTATCATTGAGGAATTCGCATCAGCTAAAGCAAGGAAGGCATATTTTTGAGGGTTGCTACCTATTAAAATACTATAGTGATGCAAACTAAGGTAATAAAATTGTTTAAACAAAAATTGTTCCAGATTACTTATTTATTTTCATTTTTATTCAAGTTCTATTCTATCTTAATCCCCAACTCGTTGATTTGCGGTGTAAGTACCAATAAACATATTTGTTAGATCATGAAATTAAGGTGTTGAGGGCCCGCATTTGAATTATCCCCGGGCCCCGATTTTCTCTCGGCGGCCGTGGCTACATTAAAGGAGAAGAATTCAAAAATGGTCTCAGTCTAAATGCTAAGAATTAAAAGTAGTTATTATGATTTCAGTAGTCAAGTTCAGTTTCTATTGTTCCCATTTTGAAGTCATCTAAGCTATGATTATAGAAACAAATTAAATTTAGCTCGAAATAACGTGACTAGGTTCATTTACTGCAAAAAAAAAAAAATTAAACGGTTTCACTTTGTTCACCAAATTTATTTAAAATTATTATAAACGTCAACCAAGATATCCTTTTGCCAAAATATGGTTTGTTCAATCATCTCTGAAATCTATATTGTGTTTTGTTAGTCCTGTCAAAATGTGGAACTCATTACCTGTATTTATCACAACACCTCACTTTAATTGGGAACTGTTCTTTGCTAGATCTTTTTGAAGAATAAGAGATATTTTCATTCTATTATAATCGTTTTTGAATACTGCCTACACTTCTTCATTCCCCTAAAGGTCAGGTCAAAAAATGACCAAAGCTTTAATGTGATTTCCAGCAAAGTTCAGCAAACCGTTCGGCGAATCTAAAGTTGAATATGAAAAGCTTTGTAGATTAATTTCCTTTTGACTGTATCAGTTTCTGCGGAATAGTTTTATACTTGCGCCAGAGTAAAACTTCTGCGGTGGAAAAACTTGGTTTGGCACCACAGGCGGCCAATTTTTTTACCATCGTAGTGCTTTGTAGAAGCCAAAAAAGGAATAGTTAGATACCACAAAATCTAGATGGTAAACGCATCAAAGCTTTCTAACCAAGCTCCATCACTTCTTGACTGGTCATCAAAGATGTATGTTTCTTTTGATCTGGTTAATTGCTGACAGTAGAACTCATAAGACCACTCATAGACCAAGTTGCCGCAGCTTTAATAATTTATTTTTCATTTAATTATTTATTCATATCACAGCCAATCATCTAGGTTGGTTGAGCAGCCAGTAAATTTTAAACGATCTAAAAATGTCACGTGAGAAATGCCTATTTCGTCAATTATCTCTTTATGGCTATCATGTCGGTTTTGCGCTATCGGTTGCTGAATTTTTTTGGATTTATGAGTGGTACGCGGAACAGACCGGGATCCTTCTTTGACATGAATATTGCCAGAACTGGTTATATATATTTGTAACAGAGCTTTCCGTTATATTCAGACTAAAAGAACTCTTCACACAAATGGCGATTTACAGAACTCTTACTGCAAAAATACAGATTAGTGTTGCTCTAAAAAAGTATCAGCACCATCCAGTAACAAAAACCGTATAGAGTTTTTTTACTATCTCTTAGTGAAGTTAGATATCCCACGTCCAAAACAGCAGAGCGCTCGATTTTTTTTGGAAATGTTTGAAATAACTGTTGCTTTTTTCCATTCAATTAGTTTCAAGTATTTACAGATATTTTAAATATTACTTACTTTAGTCTTTTATGGGATTAATTTGGATTTTTATTATTCATGACCCCTTAGGGCCTTATGCCTTAATGCCTAATGTTAACTGTGTCAGAAATGATACAAATTGTATTGTCAGAGGTAATTCTCTTAACGATAAAAGTTTCATGTGCTCTACTGATTAAATTTCTTTAGCAGTAACTTCCACATCAATAATGCTCCGTAAGTGAATTATTGAGTTTAAGCGGCCACTCAGAAGCATCAGCTCTTCACTTAAGGGAAAGATATTTTATTCTTTTAAAGTTTTTGTTATTAATGGGAAGCTCATAAGAATAATTTCTTTTGAATTTTGATTTTCTGCTAAAAAATAATCTTCTGTCTTCTAGTCTTAGTTGGTCTGAGGCGAAGCTCTTTATTATTTGAATAACCATTATCGGTGGATTATTTAAACAGAGGTGTAACGACCACGCCATCAACGCAATAATAAAATATTTTACTACCAAAATTAAATACAAATATCTAATAATGTCACAAATTAATAGAATAATTTGATTTTTCAAATCTTTAAAAATTCCTTTGGTAAGTTACTGAAAAGTTCTCTTCTAATAGACTGTAGATGAGAATAAGCTCCATAATAATCCGGCATGTAAAAAATTCATAAACAGCTAAGAGCATGAACAAGCTTTTCACCAGAATATTAAAATTCGGAAAAGTAAAATTTATTGGCTTCCTTTTCTAAAGATTACCCGTATACGAGTATGTGCTGTACTATCACAAATTTTTATAAAAAAAATATCTAGACTTTATAGCCAAATGTTTTATGATTTCTACTCTGATACATTATTTTCCTAGATTCCTTTGTTTTAAATTTATATTCATACTATTGCGTTTGTCACAAAAATCAGTGGTGGCCTTCAAGTAACAAATTTAATTGAAAACCAAACTCATTTTCATCCACAAAAATAACAAAGAATGTGAACATTTGATATTTACTTGAAGACGGATAAATGCATTTCACTGACAACGAATACAAATGTAATTACATTTTATTTTGCTTGTAGTTTTTGTTGTTTGTACTTACAATTGATATGCACGTCGAAACGTTTACTCACAGACGGCGGTACACCATTCGAGGCGATGCACAAATATCCGCCCATGTCGGTACGATGAACATTCGTCAATATGAGCTTCTCGCCCTCCACTGACTTGACCACTGTAATGAAAAGAAAATTGGAATAAAATAGGAACATATTTAGGAAATTTGTATGTATTTGTATACACGTATGTGAATAATACTGTAGATATACATTGGACATGTAAAGAAATGTGGTTCAAGTGCGGTTCTTACTCCTACATAGTTTTAAGCAAATAAGCAGCTGAACGAAAGGAAAAAAGATAAAATTTCTCTAAAAACAAAAAATCTGACTTTCTAAAAAGAAAAACAATTTGAATGTGGTTGGTGACCTAATTAATTAACTTTTCGATTGTGTCTGCTACATCCAGCCACCCGCTGCTGTCTTCATGATGTACATATGCATATCCTTATATCTATGATTGTAGGTGTAATTCACTCATATACATATATTTTATTTGACTCACGTACAAGTGGAAACACATTGTGGCTCCCCTACATTCACTTAAATGTATAAGTACAGCAGGACATACATATATCAACAAACAGAGGGCAGTTGATAAGGTTTACACATTTGTTTGGATATAAGTATTATACTCCTCAATCCTTTTCCATCCCCTTGAACTTCATATGTTTTATTGAAAAAAAAAACTAAAAAAAAAAAAAATAGAAAAGAATAATGAGATAGAAGCAAACAAATGATGAGCATAGAGTAAAAGTATAGAGAAAAGTAGCCATTAGGGGAGTCAGAGGGACTTTACTCAACACTCATTATGTGGCACACCAAGAATTTGTGTTTATGTACATACCATACATATGTACGTATGTAAAATATCGTACACACATACTCACGCCACACTGAAAAGGAAAAAAGGTAGAAAATATACAAAAACAAATGCAAAAACTGTTTGCCATGCACACAATGAGGACACTCAATGGCGAGCGATCACCTCCACACATTTTCATTTAACCTATTCAAAGAAGATTAAGCGTCCTCAGGCCGAGTTAAAGTGTTTGCGTAGGTTGTTGTCTATCCTTTGTGCTTAATCTCGCACTCTTGTGCTCAATTAAGAAGCAACGTTTCTTTAAATGTTTATCTCTTCATCTAGTAGGTAATGATGTGGGGGAAAAGGAAGTTTGGGAAGAGGAAGGGTGAGTATTTTGCAACTTTTGTGAAAAAGCGAAGAAAAAATATTGTAGTAATAAAAAAATAGTGCTCTCTACGTGTGATCCTCAATAGAATAATTACAATTTTTAATATTTACTGTTTTTGCTCATTCATTTCTATTATTTGCGTTGTTTGTTTGGATTTTTTTCAAAGACTTTGCTTGAGATAAATCACAAGTTATTCAGAATTTAATTTTAATTTATTTAAACTAATTTAATTGGCTTTTGGTTATGTTATTTTTTATTTAATTTTTGTTTCTATTTTTCTTAAATTATTTAATAAATGTTTTTTATATAACTGTTTAATTACAATTTATATTTTGAGTTTGCTATATTTTAGCCAATTCGTTTTTGTTTTCATTTCTCGATATTGTTTAATTACATTTTATTTTGATTTGTTTCACTTTATTCTATATTACTTTTTAACTTTGTTTATTTAATTATTTTTTATTTAAGCTTAATCATATTATTTTAATTAATTTTATTTTTGTTCATTAACTTTTGTTTTATTTCTTTTACTTTTTACAGTTTATTATATTTCTTTTTTATTTATTTAATTTAATTAAGTTTAATATAATTTAATTTACTTAAATTTGGTGAGCTTAAATCTTCTCTAACATATTTGTTTGTTATGGTTAATTTTTTTTGTTTTATTTTACCATTTAATTTTGTTGATTTCATTTTGTTTTTATTTTATTCAATTCGATTTAATTATATTTCTGTTTATTTTAATCAATTCGATTTAATTTTTATTTCACTTTAATTAAATTAACTTAATTTGTGTGTTATTTCAGTTTATTTTGTTTTGATGTATTTTACTGTAATATATTTAATTTAGTTTAGTTTGTATTGTTTTATTTCATTTTATTGCAGCTCATTCCACTTTATTTTATTTAATGTAATTTTTTAATTTTTATTGTATTTTGCTTACATAATTTATTTAAACTTTAATCTTATTTATTCCTGTTATATTTTGTTTAATTTAAATTTGTTTTAATAATTTTTTTTTAAATATAATAAATTTTATTTAATTTTTTTTAATTTATTTAATAATTAATTTTTTTATTCTACTTTTATCCTTTTTTCATTTGGTATTATTTATTTATATATTTAAATATTATTATTTTCTATTTTTCTTCAATTTATTTTTTAGTTTATTTCATATTATTGTAGTCCACTTTGCTTAATTTTTCAATGGTTTATTTCCTTTTCTTTTTAATTTACTAAATTAAATTTCTAATATTTAAATTTGCTATGTTATCCTACTTTACGTTGTTTAGTTCTCATTTAATTATATTTTGTGTTTTATTTTATTGTGTTTTATACATTTTTACATCCAAATATGCATGAACTCACCTTGCTTCTCTCGGGTCTCCGTTCGTAGGATTATATCCTTGCCACCTTCACGTCTCCATTGCACTGTAGGTTCCGGTACACCAGTGGCACTACAGATGAGCACAATAGTGCCACCCTCATTGCTGATACCCTCCTCGAGATTTTGTTCCGGGTGATTCAGTATATCTGGCGGCACTACAACATCCAAATAGCCAGACTTCAGATGGAGATGGTTGTAAGTGCAAGGATTTTGTGCAAAATATGAATAAATGTGGAATAAATTCAAAAGCACAGAAAATAAGTATTCTAAGAATACAAGTAATAATAATGGTGCATTTAAAAAATGAGCAAAGGGTAAAGTAAAAGTCAGAAAATATATATTTACATACATATACAGCATTATTTTGTAATAATATTCTGTGTTGTAACTATTAAGAAAGATGTACTGCATCAAAACTGCCTTGTTTCCGAATTAATTCTGGGTCTTACACGGGTAATCATGTTTTTTTTTTATCAAACATTTAATTAAAGAGTTTTACAATAGTAGCGCCAGTGGAGTTAGAAATATAGGAAATGTCCTGTTCATACTTTATTATTATTAGGAAATCAAATATATTTCATAACTAAACTGCTGTAATAAAATTTGAAGCAGACTAATTTTTAATTGCTTTATCAAAGGGAATATCTGCATTTTATGGTAATTCTTATTTTGATTAGGGCTTTTGAAAACAATTTGTACATGAAAATTCCAATTATTATTTCATTACTAATGCTCACAGCTCTCTTTCTGCAAAGCCGTTGTAATGTTAAATTTATGTCTATAGAAAGGAATCATTTTATTTCACATAGATAAACAAACATTTTCCACATATCCGTATTAGCTGATATTTGAATTTTACATGCCCTTCAGAGAAAATATCCACACGAATTATTTGTATACGCTCATATATGCTTTGCTCACTTTTCTACATAAATATCATACATACATACACATATCAAATAATCTATCGAATCGATGAAAGGGCAGTTATGAATGAGAAAAATATTCATGAAGTGGCATATTACGACTACTAAGTAAAGCAGATATTATTATTATTATTATTATTGCAAAAGTAGTATATACAAATCTATTTATGAATTGAACAAATATCTCAAATAGATGTGGTATTATCGAGAAACTTACAAATGAACGAATTCTAAGATTGTGTAATTGGAAATTTACCCTTTCACAAGTCTTATTTTGCAGTTTTTGAGCAATCATAAGGACGTATGAATGTGTATGAATACCCTGCAAACACGAGTACTCCATACACACGTAAAAAATAGACAATAGAGTAATCCAAAACCACAATCTATAAACAAAATATGGTCTAATTAACATTGCAATATCCTCGTGCTGGATCCTATTCTCCCCTTCTGTATAACCTAATAGTAATAATTTATTGTAAGAAAATTTTTGTTCTTTTATATAATATTTTAGCTCAAATTTTTTAATGTCACCTGTGCACCACCAGGCCTCACTAACTAAACAAAGCTCACACAACTTCAGTTTGACACATCTTCTGTAAATGAGTTTAAATCTTATTACTTACAACTTCGCTTAGTATCTGCGTACCTTAAAATACGAGCAAGCTTCGGCTAACAACAAGATACTATACGGAGAGAAGTGAGTTGGTTCAATCGTTGGGTACAAAAAGTGCCTTTTGGATTACTTCAATAGACCAAATGGCCCAAAAATATTAGCAGCGAATGTACATATATATACCTATACTCGTATACAAATTTATGTTACTTTACTTGCTTGGGTTCATGATTTTTGTATATAAACACAAATATACAAAGTTAGAAAAAAGAAAAAAAGAAAAATAAAATAAAGTAAAATAAAAAAATTAAATACAATTAAATAAAAGAAACTGCATTAAAATAAAATAATATAAAATAAAGTGAAACTAAATAAATGAAATACTCTAAAATTAAATAAAATTAAATTAAGTAAAATTATATCAAGTAAAATACAATAACATATAATAATACAAATGAACTAAATTAAATTGAAATGAAATAAAATAAAATAAAAATATTAAATTAAAATAAAACAAAACAGTTTAAATCAAAATGAAATAAAGTAAAATAAAGTGAAATAAAATTAAAAATAGAATAAAAAAAATTTAGTAAAAAAATATAATACTATAAAATGCAAATAAAAAAATTAAATAAATTAAAAAAAAATTAATAAAATTAAATAATTTAAAAAAAAAAACCAAAATAAAATAAATCGTAATGAAATAACGCAAAAAAGTAAAAAACATGATAAAATGAAATAAAATAAAATTAGAAATAAATTAAAAACAAAACAGTTTAAATTAAAATGGAATAAAGTGCAATAAAATAAAAAAGAGAATAAAAAAATTTAGTACAAAAATATAATACAATAATATAAAAAAAAAAATAAAAATATAAAATAAATTAAAAAAAAAATAAATAAAATTAAATAATTTAAAAAAACAAATAATATAAAACAAATCGTAATGAAATAACGCAAAAAAAGTATAAAACATGATAAAATGAAATAAAATAAAATTAGAAATAAATTAAAAACAAAAGAGTTTAAATTAAAATGGAATAAAGTGCAATAAAATAAAAAATTGAATAAAAAAAATTTAGTACAAAAATATAATACAATAATATAAAAATAAAATAAAAATATAAAATAAATTAAAAAAAAAATAAATAAAATTAAATAATTTAAAAAAACAAATAAAATAAAATAAATCGTAATGAAATAACGCAAAAAAAGTAAAAAATATGATAAAATGAATTTAAATAAAATTAGAAATAAATTAAATACTTTTTTTGCTGTATTTCTCTGTCATTCACGTTTAATGAGGAACTTTTAAGCTTAAAATGCGATTACAGAAACATATGCTTTGCTTATTGGTATTGATATTTCTCATACTCTAAAGTCGAAGCAATTTTATGCACAAGTATTTGGCTTCCACAAAGCATATTCACATTTTTTCTACAGTAAATAAAAGTCTAATGGTGGTTAAACTTTTTTTGCAAAAATATTTGCAAAAAAAAAATTGATTGAAGCAACCTTACAAATATTATTATTATTATTATTATTTGATGTTTTAAAATATCAACCGTTTCCACAATGTTTCCTCTGTTGTTGCTATATATGTAGATATATTCGCATAAATGCATATGTAAGTATATTTATTAATGAACACACATTCATAGCATATCGTCTTTGCGGTTCATTTACAATATTATCACCGAAAGTATTATTATTTCAGTCAGTAAGGCTTATGCATGGCTTCCGAGACCTATTATTGCGCTGTAATCGATGGGGTTGACCGGATGCTGTGATGGTGTCTCTTGCAATAACATAAATAGACTTTACTACAAACATATATCTATGTACATATCTACATTAGTGTAGCCCAATAAAAGCTAAACTTTTTCGCTGTCCAGAAAATATATTTATATCATACAAAAAAATAACAAATTTTTTCTATTATAAGTATTAAAATTTTTATAGAAAACTGTGACTTTCAATATTATGTATGCCATTTCATTTTGTATTGTATGATAACTCAACCTAGACTCTAACAGCTCGGAGCCTTAATAGAATTTTTGAAAAAACGATTTCAGAAAGTTCTGTTGATTTTTTATTTGTAAGAACCACCATACTAAGTTATACTATATACATATGTACGCGTGTGTCTTTCTTCAGTATGCTGAGGTGAATTTGTGATCTTTTAGGATTATTAGAAACATACCGTATTTGTATTTGTATATTTATGGATTATCGTAACGTTTTACCGATAGTGACACATGCCAAAACTGCCATTTCTTGACACTCAAATGCGGCTACTTATACGCCATGCGACCCTTGGCGCAGTGAACATAGGGATACCAGCATTAGTCTGCATGGGCATTTGCTACTTATGTGGGGTCAATTGAAGCTTTACGTGCATAAGATGTCTTTGCACTCACGACATTTTCCACATATAAAGAGCATTAAAGAAAACCAGTGGTGGTTGGCAAGTGGAATTTTTTTCATGAAAATATATTTTGCTTGTCATCGACTGCGTATTAAATGCATAACCAAACAATGAAGTTTAAATAACATTGGATAATATAGCAGGCATGCCAAAGTTCAGTGGATAAAGTCACAAGTAAAGCACACTTTAAATTACCGGTCACACCTCGAATTATAGAAATAGTCACACAAAAGTGTTGGTGGGAGTAATTGGATCACCGGAGTTCACTTGTACGTCTGTATATATGTACGTCGGTATACAGGTAGCAGCATTTATAGCTGCACATATGCTACTCTCGTACGCGCGTGTGATTTAAAGGCTTAAGTTACTCAACCTCAAGTTAAAGCCACTCTCTCAGCATCTAACTTAGTTAGTTTTAACCAATGCAGTGGCGGTCTAGTCAAATCCCTTTACTCACCTAACTGACCAATATAATGCCTTTATCATCTAACAATTTATGTATATATGTATGTATGTATGTATGTATGCATGTATGTATGTACATATTTATTGCACACTACTGGCTAGTTAGCTGAGTTCAGTTGTGTTTACTTACTAGACTCTTCATCGGATCTGTGTTCACTTGGCACATGTAGCTGCCCGAATCGTTGAGCTGTACGTGGGATATGTGAAGTTTCCAGGTGTTGTGGCCATTGTGTGTCACTGATAATCTGGGATTAAGTGATACCATATGGGTGTGAATGCCGAGTATTGCTTTGGAGTCGGATTTAATCCATGCAACCTGAAAAATATATGAGCGCATATAGAAAATAAATATATAAATATACTCGAATAGACTTATGCTCTTGTGAGATTATGCACATACACGTATACATATTCACTCTAAGAAATGGTTAAAGTAGACAAAATAGTCATACACATACACATTTATATTTAATCATGTATGTATGCATGATTAAATATAAATAAGTGGAAGGAGATATTTTGTTGCTGAAAAAACAGTTTGTATGTATAGCATAAACAAAAACAACACATCCCATAAAAATTACCGCAAATTCAAACAAATTGATAAAATAAAACGAGTGTAAAAATGTGTATACGCAACGTATATACATATGAGATGGAAGATGGAGCCCTTTTTCACTCAGAATAGAATGCCAAATAATCAATACTATGTATTGTGCTACACGCTTGTTAGTGAGCTTGCATTTCAAAATTTCAAGATATTTGCAACTCTATGAAATCCACTTCAACTTAAGACAATTCTATTAGCCGAAAAGTCTGAGAGCTTGCGGAGAGACCTTAGAGCGAAATGCACATTAGGAGTTTCGCAAGCGAAAAAATAGTAATACCTTTCTCGGTCGGCGCAGTAGACCATTGAATAGCAGTACGTGCTACTATGCGGTTGGTCATCAACATTCAAAATAAAGAAAAGATCTTCCTCCCGCTAGACAATACAGACATTTAGCTTGGTGTAAAAGCCGACCAATTTTTCTTTGTTGATAGCCAAGCGGTAATTAAGGCCTGGTTACATTATGTAAGGAGGTACTCAGAAGACAAGTTGAAGGCGGATCGCATGCTATTGTGCGTAGGATGAATAACAAAATGGAGGGTCCTACAATATATGTATATTAAGCCGCCTTCGAACGGCTTACGAGTTTTTTACGAGAAGCCTTTATTTCATGTCAGAAATATACTCGGAGGTGTTGACAATTTTTTTTTTATTTCAATTAATCTTTTATAGCTTGATGTTGATCGTACCAGGTTTTGAGCCCGGGCTTTCCGAATGGCAATACATAATGTTAACTACGCGGCTACCGCGGCCTCTAATAATATATAATATTCTCCAATGAAAAGTCATAAAAAGCTCGGACTTTCCTTTGATGATGATCCCCGCAAACGGTTTAAAAATCACGATTTGAGGGTATGGACCTGGAATGTCAGGCCCGTTAATAGGGAAGGTGTTGTTGTCCAGCTAGTTGTTGTTCTCATAAAGTTAAAGTTAAGGGCTGACTTGACAGTCATCACAAGAAGAGCGGTGAACAGAATAAAATCCGAAGAAGGTGGAATCATACGAAATGTACAATAGATATAGTTAGTTTGCGCTTACGGCTCGAAATAAGATAATCTGAGAAGTAATTATGACCGATTCTTACGCTACGATGTTAAAATTGTACTTGGCGACCTTAACGCCAGGAACAGAAATTTCGCCTCCACTAAGAGACATCCCCAAATGAGTTGAGACTAATCGACTGTTGCCCGAAATTTGGTTGTCTGGAGGATTACATTCCAACACAAGAAACTATACGAGGATACTTAGCTGCAATCACAACATACAACTTAACTGTTTTCTACTTCAACCTGCACTCCTGTTCTCGGAGAATATTTATCAGTAACTCCATATATGGGGATTGTGGACCGGCACCTAAAACCCTCTGCGTGCCGCCAATACATATCAATTGATTTTCGGCAATTGCAGAAAAAGCGTTGGTACGACGAGAAATCTCGAAGTTCAGTGGACAGAAAATATACTGCGTACCTTGCAATCCTGCAATCAATCAAAATACGTGCTGGGTGGGATAGATACCGAGTGCTAAAGAGGAAAGCAAGACGCATTTTCAGACGAAAAGAAAGAGGCAAAAATGAGTGAGTATGAGGAGCTGGCATACATAGGTAATGCTAGAAAATTCTATGAAAAGATGCGGCGACTAACAGAAGATTTCAAGAGCGGAGTTTACTCTGATGACTGATGTCTCGAGCATAACTGCTGCATTACACTTCTCTAGTGTACTAAATGGCAGTGAAAAGCAACACATGGAGATGGTGAAGCGGGAACCCCACTTCATAATGATGGGAAAGACGTTCTATTACCTGACTATGACGAGGTTCACGGTGCCGTTAGGAGGCTAAATATGGCGTTAGTTCTTCTTTCTCCAGACTTGATAAAAAAGTGAAGCGAATGGATCTGGTAGTGAACTTAGACAAGAATAAATGTCATCAAACATGCATTCGCAGTTGCTTTCCACGACATTTTTGATAGTCATAACTTCGAGGTCGCAATATTAACATTTCGCTGGAATAAGCAAGCGGCATGACTTGGGTACGAATGGCTCCGCACAGCGAAGAGAAGGAACGAGTCAAACGCTACTAGTGATTCGGCTATAATCGCGTAAGCGGTGCCTAGGAACGGAGAAGAAGAGGTTGTCTGCTGCTCGTATCATATCATTAAGAATTCAATAGAAGAAGTGAAATGGTTTAGTTTAGAAAGAACCGGAGAGATCACTCTCGATTCAGATAGATCGCTTAGTGTGGCATCCGTTAGAGGCTAATTTGTAGTATTTTGTTTTTTAATTCGTGAATAAATATTAATCAGATAAATAAGATACAAAATCATTACAATTGACGCCATATTTGCGATTCTGAAACAATTTAAGGAAATACTAATTATTTCTTCCTTATCGTTTTAGCAGTTGCGGTTTTGTGAATTATTGAGTATTTACGTATAAACACCCATGACGAAATTTCGTATATAAATATTTTTAGAAATTGTATGACTTCGGACACAGAAAGTCGAGTGCATTCCAAATTTTAAGCATTTTCACATAATTAATAACTACAATATTTGCACAAAATTTTAGTACAAATTAAAATCCAACTTAAACTTATGAATTTGTGCATTCATTTGCAATCGTTCATAACTGCATATGTATGTATGTACATATATTAAATATGTATATGTTTCGGTGCATACGTATCCTGTCTTTGGAGTGTTGTGTTTTGGAGTTATTTACACAGTATTAGGCAGCTGTCAGAAAATGTTTTATAAATTATTTAACAAATATGTATTTGCGGATATTGCACAAATCTCCTTTGCTGGATAAACATTTGGCAGCAATAAAAACTAATTTAAAACTCAAATTGATTTGTGTAAATATTTGTTGGAAAACTTAAGCCACCGTTGGACAATTAAGGAAAGGAATATAAATATTCAATTTGAAGTATTTATAAGTACAAAAGTCAACCACAAGTAAGTTATATTTCATTTTGCAAACGTATTAGAATAGAATTTAAGCATTATGCAATTGTATGTATGTATACATGTACTTATGTTAAGCGCTGTTGGCGAAGTCATTGAATTTACTATAAAATCCTTATTCTTAAAACTTAGTGCTTTTAAGTATGGTAAAGGATATGTCTTTAAACTTGGGTAAATAAATAAATAAATATGTACATATGTGCAATTATTTACACACTTTAAACTAAAAATTCTGTATTTAGAGCTCTTTTAAAAATGTTCATTCATCCGCACCTTTTTTATTTATTAACATTAGTATTTATTTATTGAAATTGCTTAAACATCGGAAGCCTGACAATAAGTAATAAAATCTTTAACTAAATAAACTAAAACATAAAATGCATTTGTATTAATGGACTGCTGGCTTGGCATTGCTCTCTCTCTCCTTAGGCGGGTTTGATTTGTTTCGTGGGCCAAGTAAAAGTATATCAAACTGTTTCGCTGTCCCCTGATCGAATAACGCCCGTCAACAAGTACAATGAAAGTTCGACGACGAAAAGCTGCAATCATAGCAGGCTTCCGAACGGTTTTCTACTCGATTTTCACCCCTGCTCTCTGAGAACACTCATCAACAACAGCATTTCAAGCTCCCTACGTACAGCTGTAAACGAAGCTATTGGATTTCGTAAAGGTCGCGATGCGACTGCCGTGACCCAGTGAAGAGAAAACAGTCTGCCTAACTCACAACGTTGCGATCGACCACAATATATATAAAATATTCGAGCTTTGAAAGATTTTGACGCAGTACCAGCTGGTGGAAACGGAGGAAGGAGAATGCCTCTTCTCCGATGGAAGGACCAGGTAGAGAAGGACCTGGCTGTTCGTGGTGTATCCAACTGGCGTAAAATAGCAAAAGGAAGAAACGAATGATACAATGTTTTTAACTCGGCTATAATCTCGTAAGCGGTGTCTACGACAATAAAGTAAGTAAGTTATGTAGAAATTAATAAGCGCTAAAAATGGAACATATTTATGATTACAGATGGTCATTTATATGGTGGTGATAAAGAAGGTATAATCTGACCATATTTGAGAAAGACGTGGAGGCAAGTCGACGTCCTTAGAATCAACGAAGATTCTTCAGCTATGACCGAGTAAGCATATTGGCAATGGTTTCGGCTGCTGCTTACAGTTTTAATCAAACGGCACTTGCAAGCTTGAAGATAATGGATTTTAAGTAAGAGAAAAAGCTTGTTCTGAACGAAGAGATTTAATTACTCAAATTATTTCCGAAAACACGGACTGCAGCTCAGTCTTTTTAAAGTTGCCCAAGCCATAATGGTGACTTTTGTGATTCTAGTTGGTTTCTGATACTTTCTCTTTCCTGCACTCCAGCAGAGGTGATCTCCCAACTTTACAGAAGGCGACTGAATACTCTTTGTTTGAGAAATCCAATTTGCCCCATGCATTTTTAATCTGTAGCTCTGTCGACTTTTTTTTTAACAACAAATTAAATTTATTTTGAAAACTATCATTTCACTGAGAAAGACGGAGACTTATCAGAACTCGATAAAAACACGTATAATTGGCCTTGAACGAGTAGTGGCGTTCTAGTAAAGTATGAGAAAGAAAGATGTTTTCGCTCTTTTGCCTGATTTTTGACCCAATCTGAATCAATTGGTTAGATGAGGGCTATGTGATATAGTTCTTTGACTGCGGTTATTTTCAGTGACAATATTTATTTGTAGATATAAATTGTTCATACTAAATTTCATGCTGTTGTATGCTTTTTTGATAGAGTTTTTCGATAAGTTTCGATGCTTACATACTTCAGACCAAAGTTAATATACTATTTCATGTACATGAAAGGTTTAAAAACGTCGTCCGATTCTTAACCCTTTGGCGTTGGAAAGGAGCCTTTTAGGTGCCAAATGGTAGGTCAAGCTGATTTGCAATATCAACGGAGATACCAAACTGTGATTCCGCGATCGGTATGACCTCTGGCCCATGAGTGAAGCGATTCACTATAATTAGGCAACAGTGGTAGTCGTCTGAAGTTGTAAAAGGTTTAAGAGTGCCCAAGTTAAGTATATAAAACCATTTGGCATAGAACTCTAAATATTTGTCTGAAATTATACAATTAGTTCCCAGCAAACTTTTGCTATCATGGTGGTTACCTGTCTTATTAGTCCTTTCGCTCATAAACGGTGCATTTAATAAATATTGGCTATACGCGGTTATGCGAAGAGTAATAAGTAATTGACTTAGAGCTCGATAAGGTACATGGCTTCAATTGAATAGAGTCACAAGCTTTATTAATGATAAGAAATTATATCGATGCTTGAACAACTGTCGATTTATCGTAGTTTTAATAGTGTCGTATTGGTTTCGTTAAAGCAAGCCCGTATATATTATCTAAAAATATATCCATTCTGTGCATCTTTTCCGCAAAAGGAAAGAAAGAAAGAAATAAACTAGGCACAAAACATAGCTTTTCCTATCCAGTTTGAAGAAAGCAGAAGTAACAATGCGGCTGTTGAATACAACAAGATCAGCAGTTGTACACTTTTTTAGACTAGTTGTGTAGAAACGCATTATCAAGAACCTATTTGCTTTCTTCTCTATGCCTTTCATCAGGGTTTCTGTATAACAGTGATGATCGGTCATCATCTAAATGGGAAGCTTGAATTTTTTTTCTTGGTGCTTTATTTCATGTTGCAGGTCTCAAAAACACTTTCCAGCAAATTCTAACGAGACAACCAGTTCTTAACAATCGAAAAGTGTGTTCCACTATACAAATAGAATATTAATCAATTATTTAATAATTATCCAATTAAGTATTCAACGATGGGATTAAAAAAAAAAAAAACCTTGGAACTTGGATTAAATATACTTTGGAAGTGAGTTGCCAAATAAAATAAATTAATGTGTGCTTTGAAATATTCCTCTATAGCGGGATATGTATCCAGCGGAATGTAATTGAGAAAGTCATTTAAGAGCAGCTTAACAGAGTCGGCCCTCCCTTAGCAATTGCAGTATTGGTACCACATGGAAGTTGTAATGAAAGTGCTTAGTATTGCGGCGGCCTTTTTCTGTGCTCGAACAAAATGATTTTCAACAGAAAAATCTGGAACTTTATACAATATTCACTAATCGAGAAGTACCAAGTAAGTATTATATTAGTGAACAGTTTGAGTAATATTTTGTTTATTTTTTAGAGCAATTAGTTATTTATAAATAATATGATAAACACGATGTCGCCTATGGTGAAATAGGAAAAGGCGGGTGAAGTGGTATAGTAAAGCAAGAAATACTCTCTCCAACGAAAACGCCGAAAACGGATTAAATACGTATGTCTCAATCAAAAACGATGAATAAAATCATTCAAAATAATAAGAAAGGGAGAAATGGGTTTCCAAAACCTACAGTGACTTATTAGAAAAAAAACTGGAACAGGCGTGATCTCTCTCGATAAAATGTAAAAAAATTTTCAACGATTTCAAAATAATATAATTTCCCACCAACTCGTATTTGGAAGGTGGACGAAACTGTAATTCCAGTGGTACCTTTCCAACAACTACAAATAATACAAAACATTCTACATCTGAGCCTGTCCTGCTTATAATAAAAGGACATTATAGCCACAAGGTTACTGATCTGGTACGCGAACAAAATGTAACTATCAATTCATTATCTCCTCATTCTATGCACAAGATTCAACCGTTGTGTAAAGCATTTATGAGGCCTATTAAGATGTATTACATATAATATGTTTTACACCAAGTCTACGTGATTCTGCAGCCCTTCTACACTTCCTTGAATGGAACCGGAAAGTTCGATGCTGCGTCTTGTTCTAAATAGACGTCCTCCTTAGCAAGTTCGTCAGATATCTCATTACCCTGAATGCTGGTGATATTGCTGTTTGCTAATTATGTGTTTTCGGGCGACTGGTAATCATTTCGTAACATACAAAAAACATACATTAGCTACATTCAAGCAGTTTCAGTTTTTCATGACAACATTGAACTGAGAATGTGAATTCAATAGGTATTGAATGATTCGATGAACACTTCAACGGGAAAGGTTTCAATTGAGACTTCGAACTCAACAATCAAATAAACTTCAGTCACAACAATATTGGAAAATGATACCGACCGAACCTTGTATGAATATTTTAAAAACACTATTAATTTTTTTGAAGAAACAAGCAAGGCAGAAAGCTCGTTACTCCCTGAGAGATACCTCTACCACATAAACTTAGAAAAAAATGAAGTAATCGGAAATACCGAAAAACGAAGGCAGCAGTTTTAACGACTTCTCCGTGAAAAATAAGAATCTGCCACAAAGCATTGCTTCCACTGATAATTGGTGCTTTGTAACCGCTGTAGCGATTTTCGGGCGAGCTCCTCCTCCAATTTGTGGTTTTACGTCTTGATGTTTTTCCAACAAATAGAAGGACAGTTTAACTAAGCCGCCTCCGAACGGCTGATGGTTTTTTTTTGTAGGGAGTTTTATTTCATATCAGAAATGCACTCGGAGGGGTTGACATTCCATTAACAAAAAATCAAAATGCCTCAATTAAATCTCCTGTAAAAAATTAAACAAAAGAATTATTCTTACTGATCCACGGCACTCCTGTTTTCAATGCAAACAAATATGGGAATAAAAATATATTAAATCGAATCTTTATATTCCTCTTCAATAATTACAGTTAAGGCCAGAATTACATGTAAAATATTAGTTACCCCTCCGTTGGAAATGTCAACCCCTCCGAGTGTATTTCTTACAAGAATTCTGGTCCGCACACCCGTTTGGAGCCGGCTTCGAACAACCAGAGCACTTTTATTGTTCAATTTTAAATTGATATTCTTCAAAACATATAAAGTTCAGCTTTAAGGACGAAACCCAATCAGAGTTAAAAAGAATTCATATTTTTTTTATTTAACGAAAAAGCATTTTCATTGAAATTCATGCACATAAATAATTCGTATACGGTCATACCCCTATTACGTTTGATGAAAATGAAATGTGAGACTATATAGTAGTGCAGTATGCTTCCTTCCAATGCCTTTATACGTATTTATATTCCATTCTAGAGGCCACACTAAGGTCAAGCATTCGCAGCTTATTTCATTCCTACATTCATATAAAATTTCTCATCCTCCGGACGGATGAGAACGTGCTCTGTACTTGAAAGTGCAATATAATTTATTGCAACACTGCCACTGACTGTACATGCAACACCCAAGCTTGGGACGTACATAAGAGCAGACGATGCGCAGCAGCGAGTACCAGCTGCCCCACACTGCTAAATTCAAATTCAGTTATATAAATGCACGTATATATGTATATAAGTATGTATGTATGTATGAATGCATGTAAGTTCCTTACATCTATTACACAAAGTATAGCTTTTACTTACCCGATACTGGCCCAAGTTGTTGACCACGCACGTGAATGAGACATCGCGCCCTTGCGGCACTGTAAAGTTGGTCAATTGCGCCAAGAACTCAGGCTCCGGCTCATCTGGTTGATTATGGCCTGCAAATGGAAGTGATGACAGCCCATTTGGTTAGTTGTTTGGTTGAGTGCATTGTGAACGTGTGAATGGTGCCTGCATGTACATATATATATATATGTGTGTATACATGTGTGTATGTTTACGTCAAGTGAAAATGGAGGGTTAAGTGAGCAAAGGACATGTGTGACACAAATAAATTTGCTGACAACATAGCTTGATAAAAATCAGCAAAAAGCTGTAATAATATCTAATGCACTTTGCGAACGCTCAATTATGCTGCATCCAACACACTAAGCCCTAAAGTAGTTATATTATGTATTAAGTGATCACACTTAGTGGGAAAGAAGTTTCCAAAATGACATTTACAAAAAATGCATTATTAAATGTGTATTATTGGGTACGAGTTTAAATCAATTTCGCTGGATTCATGAACGAATATCTTTATTGCTTCGAGGCTGTATTGAGAGCCAATTGAGCTCATTAAAAGTGAGCTGCTGGAAAAATTAAAATAATATGTATACTGTTAGACAGTAAATGATTTCCTTGTAACCAACGCGATCTCATGGAAGGTTTATTGTCCTGAGTATCTGAGGCAAAATATTTGATTTGCTAAAGCCTAGAGCTTTTTACGAAGACTTGCATTCAGGTCCAGCAACCATTAGGTACCGAGCTAAGGTACACAAGCATCTCCTCGCCAAAAAAATTTACATGTAAAAAAATTTCTTAATTTAATTGAAGAAAACTGAGAAAAGAGGCCAGTCGCTTCCGATCCATGACAACTAGCAAGTGTAAATATTTAGTATTTAGTAATGTGAAGAATAAATTACGTTGACATTGCTCAAGAACAGCTGTTGTGTACCAAAATGTTGAAGAAATCCCAGGTTTGTCCATTTCTCGTCGTTATTTGCAATTGGGCATTCCACAAACGAAATATCATCGTATTTTGCACTTAGACTTGAGGTCTTAAAGCTCATTAAGTTCAGCTAATACTAGAAATCAAGCAAGCCGGTCATTAACAACGTCGTGTTTTTCCTTAAAATGCATGAAAATTATCCTAAAATTATCCTAAAATTCATCGAAAAATCATATTAATTGATAGGCCCATTTCCTCCCGATGGTTACCAATAAACAAACTGCTGCATTAGGTGCTCGGAAAACATACAACTGTTTGGTGCGGCATGGTCATGGGACCTAACTTTGACGTAAATGAGACTGCAGCAACAGTTATGGTAAATAAAGTGACCTATCCAGAGATGATTACTGATATTTTATGGACGGAATTGAATGGTATTGATATGGACAACGTTTACATTCAAAGAGACTTCATGTGCAACACAAGCAATAGGATGAGCGATATCTTAAGAAAGAAGTTTTCGGACCGAGTGTTATCTTTCGGCTGCCGAGATCTTATGATTTAACACCTTTCTTTAACGACTTCTTCCTTTGGGGTCATNCAACAAGTATTGTCAGCAATTGGTCGAATTGAAGAAAGCAATTGATGAAAAACGTCCGATTTTGGCCAATCGCAAAGGAGTTCTTTTCCATCAGGACAACGCCAGGCCACATGTTGCAAAACCGACCCTGGCCAAACTGGAGGAGATAAATTGGGAAATCATGCCGCATCCCCCATATTCTATCTGTCTATATGTGTGCGATAAGTTAAAAAATTTGGGCAGGCTGTGTCAATTAGCTTATGCTTGACTGCTATTGGATGCGAACAACTAATAGAATTAAAACAAATATATTATATAGCAAGCTTAGTACATTTTCCTCAATAAATACTTTTTTAAATTGACAAAAAAAGATCAAAATTATGGTATCGAAACGAGGAAAAGGGTAAATAAGTAATAAGATGTTCTATCAATTTCAAATGTTTACAAACTAGTCGACTGAGAAGATACATAACATTTAACATTAACATTTGGAAATAAAAAGAAGGTCATCCCACAGTAACTTGGAGTGAACGCTGAGTCATTTACATCGAGTACATTGAGGAACTAAGCTATGGGTGGCCAATATATTTCACAGCTTTTGGAAAGATTCATATGTTCACCTAATTTAGCTCGTGGTGATGCAATTTAAATACAAAATTTATTCCCTTATATCTATCAGGTGTAGTAAAAAAGAAGTCCACTATCTTTTGCATAAAACTGAATTGTTGAATTTTTTCTTTTCGTTCCCAGCCTTATTCAAATGGTTCCAAACTGATTTTAGTGCAATATTTAGCTCTTGGGAAATCAAAACAGTGCTTGCATGACGGTCGGACTCGACAATGTCGATGATTTTACCGAGATTTTCGACAATTGGTCTCCCACTCCGTGTAGCATCTTTTACATCGAACTTACCGGAAAGAAACTGAAATTGTGCATGATTGACAGTAACGCTATTCACATTTCCTGCCGCCTGGCAAGAGCAAACGCACGAACAAAACTGAATCAAACAAGTAACAAAACTGTCAGAAAAGTTTTTTAGTACGATATTTCATCTTTCTAATGCCATCTAGCGGAACCTGATCGAGTATACAGATAAATAATCTATAGGAAAAATAATGGATACCTCACCAGTATAATAGGGAATAGCTAAAAACAGGGCTGACCACGAGATTACATGCCTGTAATCAAATGAGAAACTATTCACACGAACACATATGTTTCGGCAGCTCTGAATAGTATCTCTACAGAGAGTTCTAAAATGAGGAACGGAGCTGCCAACTGGAAATAAGATTGTTATTCAGCCAAGATATTTAAAAACAGGAAGCAGGCTTAGACAAAAGAAGACTTCATATTTTTGCAGATAGCCAAGCGGTGGAGGAAAAACAATAAACATTTAAAAAACAAAATAAATATGAAAATCGGTTAAGCTGAGCGGGTGTAAACACTTAGGATATGAAAATTGTTTACTTAGTAATTGTAGATTTGTAACAATTTGTATTAAAAATATACACAAAAAATTTCAAACTATTTTCACGGATCTTAGAATTGGTGTAAATTGAATGAAAATATGGTCAGTAATTTTTTAGCTTATCGCACACATACAGACAGATAGACGCATAGGAACCTTGTTTTAAAATTTATTGTGATAATGGTAAAGCCATCGACAGGGTGTTGAAGTCGCAAATTATATTGAAGCGCTCCAAAAAGCTTAGACTCATATGTTTTTTTGATACTGACCGCGTCTTTAGCTTTCATTCACCAGAGCGCCAACATCGCTAATATTCTTATGTAAATGTTTTTATATGTATTGTATGTATCTAAGTGTTTGTTAGGAAATAGAGAAATTAATGAAAACTCAGGTACAAATATTTGCGAGCAATTTTTAAATTAAAATTGTGAAATGTGCATAGTTGTTGTATATATTTATATGCGCGCTTTCAAATGTGTTCATACATACGTATGTGCGGTATGTGTGCCTTTATTTGCTTGCATTTTCTATTTTGCACGCCTAAGCACATAAAAGGCCACACTTTCACGGGCATGTATGTATGCATGTTCTCTTATACGTATGTGTGTGTGTGTATAGAAGATAGTGTTAACATTAGCCATTTTGCAATGCTTGCAACTGTGCATACGTGTGTTGGTGCATGTGTACATTTTGACTCCTACCTTGTGCAAACACGAGCGTGCCACTTCCGCTGCCGCTCCGATAGCCAATGGTGATGAGTAGTAGAAAAACATTACACCACAAAGTGCCTACGCAGCAACATTTAAACTGACCCATGTCGGTGGCGCTGGAGGCGATGTGCTCTTAAAGCGTGTAGTTTGTAATGCAGTGAGCTTTATAGACGACGGTGTAGAAACGCGCGAAGGTGAAAAAAGATGCGCGTGCTATTTCATATAATCTAATTGCATACATATGTATATGTGTGTATGTATGTACCGAAGGGTATATATAAAATGCCGTCAAGCATAGGGCAAAGAGATGTCCAAGATAAATAGACGCTTTTTAATATTTTTAGCTATGAAACTTCGGTGGTTGAGTTTGTTTGGGTTTCTGCGTCATTCTTGTCCAAGCAAACGCTTAGCTTATTATTTTTATGTATTAACTGTTTTTCTGCTGTTGCATTTACTTATGTTTGCTTTACGCGCAAGTCAGTTATACCGTTGAGTTCTCTCTTAGTTGTTATCATTGTTTCTATTCGATTTCGTTTATTTAGTCTTTTGTATTGTCTTTGTGATTTCTTTCTTTGGCTAATTGTTTTCCTTATTGCTTGTTTGCTTTAACAGTGTTTGTTGTTGCTATTGTTTACTTTGTAGCCCTCCTGTTAGATCGAAATATGTTCTGCAAAAGAATTTGAGAAAAGCAAAAAAATATTAATTTTTATTTTGGCATTTTAAATTTTTTTTTACTTTTGTTTACATTTTTAGTTAACATTTTTTTTTTAGAAAATTTGCAAAATAAAAATTCAAACATATTTATGTATACCCACCCAAACGACAGGAGCGAGGCTAACCCTATAATCGGGTAATTAGAGTCGGCGTTAAATGTCGAAGTTAAGTCTTCCCCTCTTAGCTACTGAAAAAAATTATTCAAAAGCTAAAATTTATTCATTGAAGACTTTTTAAACTGTATAATACTAAAATGTGATTCTGAAAGGTCCATGATGGAATGATAATTAAATCATCAAGATTTCGAGTTAACGCATTGAAATTTTTCTTATCCAAGAGAAATCCACTATATATTCGATATACGAGATAGAATTACCTTGACTGCGAACAATATGCCTAACATTGCAACAACAAGTTTGCGGGGATAGACTTTGAAACTTTGAGTCCATTAGTATAGGGACGAAGATTCAAACGTTCCTTACAATAAGTAAAAATTGACTTTGAACAGACTCTCCTTTATACAATAGAAATGAACTTGATACATGTGTGGTGAAACCCAATGATTTACTGAAGATGGTAAAAATAGAATCAGCTTATTTATTATATCTGAAAGTTTTAGTGGCCACTAGGTTACTATGATAGCTGAGCGTATCCGTGCGATGCGTACAAAGTTTTTCTGCCGCAAGCGGAAGAGCTCACATTGTCTGACATGTGCTGTCAATAATACGTTATCACATCCCACATAGCACGCGAAACAAAGGCCGAAATTAGAGGCGAGTCCAGTGTGGTGTTTGTTTCACGTTTGGAGTTGGCAAATTGACCGCCTAGATCCTATGATTTAATGCTTCTAGGCTATTTTGCGTGGCACTATGTTAAAATATATTTTGTCTATATCGAAATGTTCGCTACGAGTGGTGTATTGGAAGCCCGTCGTATGAACCACTTACAGCGCATTCGATGTCAAAATTTACAAAAAATATTACTTGAACATTAAAATATAGTGATCGCTAGTAAGCGACTGAAATAGAGACTTAAAACATTTTTCGAATTTTTGCCGGATTTTTTGAAGTTATAGCCGAAAACTCTAAACAATCACATTTTTATCTTCGGCATATATTATATTATATATGTAGGATCAACAGACGTACGTAGGATGACTAGAAGTGGGCGAGTATATGCATATACATATATATATATATATATATCTAAGTACTACGTACATTCATTACTTTATCTACTGAAGCTTCAACTCTATATATTAGAAAAAGTAACAAATCATACATTTTTTNCTAGAAGTGGGCGAAACTTTTAAGTGGTGCTTTAGTACCAGAAAACAACAACACTGTGAGTCGACAAAAGGATGATGAACAAAGTGACAAACGAAACGGACAGAACATAGAACGATAGTTTGAATATTGTCATCAACCAGTAAAGATTGTAAATCACAAGCTTTTGTAATGGCTTTAAAATTACTAATAAAATCATTGAAATAAAAATAATTTAATAAGAAGACTATATATATTTAATGTATTAATAACTGCAGTTGAACTTAATTGGTGCTTATAAGGTGTGAAGCCAAGGCCAAAGTTAGTCAAATAATTTGATTTATAGAACTGTGCTAACAGTATTTAAACTGTAGATTTATAGTTAATGGTGAACAAAATGGTATAAAACCTATATTTGTAGTTTACTCCTTTAGAATTACCCATATATTATAATATTGCATTTATCTTATCAATTAAGTCCTGTACAAAAAGGTAACTACTTTTTAAACCTATTTCAAATGTTAAGCCTTTTTGTTTTCTTAATTCGATATCCAAAGTGAAATGATTGTTTATCTAATAACTTCTTCTAAATTTAATATTAAGAAAGGTGGCAACTCTCTGAGGAACATTTTTCATTGTAAACTTCATTAACACACTTTAGCATTATTTATAGGTTGTAACTCTTTTTAATAAAATACTTGAACTTTAAGTTCTTGAGTTTTTTCCTTAACCACTTTCTTTCCAAAAAAAAAATATCAAAAAAATTCCAACATGTGGACAGATAGGTACAGTTTTTTATCAGTACAACTTTTTCTTTTAAAGACTAGAATAGGTTATATATTTTTATTAATGCATATACATATATATATATATTACGTACGCTCATTATTTTATCTACTGAAGCTTCAATTCTCTATATTAGAAAAAGTAACAAATCATACATTTTTTTTATTTAATCTGCTTTATGTGGAATCTGTAAAGTTTTGATCTATAATTTCTCGCCATTTCATGGAAATCCTTGTCCCGCTTGGTGAAAATTTGGGACAATCGCTTTTCGCAGGCAATTCTTCACTACTCAAATCATTCATCTTAGATATGAATAGGTGGTAGTCGTTTGGTGCGAGGTCCGCATTATAGAGTGTATGCATAAGAACCTTCCAACCAATCAGTTGTTGTTGTTGTTGTTGTAGCGGTTCGCCAACCCCGCTTAGGCACAGGTCTGATCAGTCTAAGTCGCCGAGGTCATCTAGTGGTAGGTCCAGGAAACGAGCTGTTTCGACGGGGTTGGACCAAAGGGAGAGGGGGGTTAGATGAGNCATTCAAATTAGATATGAATAGGTGGTAGTCGTTTGGTGCGAGGTCCTCATTATACGGTGTATGCATAAGAACCTTCCAACCAAGCAGTTGTTGTTGTTGTTGTTGTTGTAGCGGTTCGCTAACCATGCTTAGGCACAGGTCTGATCAGTCTAAGTCGCCGAGGTCATCTAGTGGTAGGTCCAGAAAACGAGCTGTTTCGACGGGTTGGACCAAAGGGAGAGGGGGCTTAGATGAGTGGGTTTGAGGGGACATGTGAAGAGGTGGTTAGTGTCGTGCGGAGACTCTCCACATGCAGGGCATACGTTGGGTATGTGGGGTCTAGTCTGGATAGGCAGGAGTTTAACCTGCTGCAATATCCAGACTTGAGTTCCGTCAGGGTCACGAGGGTCTCTCCAGGCAGCTCGAGCTCGTTGTCTGCTATGGGTGGTGGTATTTCTCCGAGTACGCCATTCACTGGAAGGGAGTCCTTGAAGGTGTTGACTGACTCTTGGTGAATGGCGTTCAGTGCTTGTCGGTACACTGTCTTGTCCAGCGGTTGTTGTACATGTCGCTGGATTGTGTCCTTTAGGTCTAGTACTCCCTTTCTGATGTGCCTCACTGCGGTAGCATCCCAATAGGAGCTGCTTGCACAGCAAAGCATTATGCTTAACTCGTAGCATGGATGCTTCCCTGTGCAAGTGATGCTCCGGCGACATCAGGAGGTTTCCTGTCGCGGTCCTGAGGGCGGTGTTCTGACAAGCCTGTAACTTCTTCATCTGCGTCTCGTTAGTCCCCGGCGTCCAGATCGGTGCAGCATAGTTTACGACCGGCCGGCCAATTGCTTTGTAAGTAGCCAGCAAAGTTTTTATCTTTACCCCAGGTGCTGCCGACTAGCGCTTTGAGTATTTTGTTGCGGCTTTGGAGTTTTGCGGCAATTGCGGTCGTGTGCGGAGTGAAGGAGTGCAGGCTGTCTAGAGTTCCTCCCAATATTTTTGGGTTATTTTCCATCGAAATTTTTGTGTCATCGATCTTCACATCTAGTTCAAGCCTGTATTCCTTCGTCCAGCTGGTGAAGAGGGTAGCCGAGGATTTCGTCGGTTGAATTCGTAGTTGCCTTGCAGTGAAGAAGTGGGAGAGATTGGCGAGGTAGCCGTTTACTCTCAAGCAGAGGTCATCAATATCCTGGCCCGACGCCATTATCGTACAGTCATCGGCATACGAGGTTAGGGAAACTCCATTGCACTGGGTGCATCTAACCGAGGTGGAGGAATGGTGGAGTCTTCTATGACACACGCAGCAGAAGTAACCCGTCGGTCCAGGGTTGGTTTCTACACCAGCCCTGATCAGAAGGATTTGGAGCAGCCCAGTTGCAAGGCGTTGCTCCATTGGCGAACTTAGACTAAAGTTACCCGTAGACCTAAACGGGGTTAGGTCGCCGCAAGGGTGACAGCCCTTGGCCGGATAAAATCCGGGTCAACTCTGGTGCGTAGAACCGGCTGTCGTGAGAGTCGGCCAACCCAGCAGTCGAAGCCTTTGGTGAGTCATTATCGATGTGTACGGTCGGCGATATCTTGGTGGAATACAGTTCGCCTTCAGTTGGATCAATTTTTGTGCTTCTGGGCTGTTGCATCCTTTACACTTTCTAATCGCTGACTGCGCAGGTCCGAGTTAAGCTTCTCGCCATAGGAAAGCAACTCATAGTTGATGATTCCTTTCCCCAATCTCGCCAAACGCACAACAAAACTTTTGTGGCCGTCATTTCTAGCGCAGAGACCGTTTGTGCCGGCTGACTGCCCTTCGTTCATAACCGTAGGTGATGCGCGCTTCATCACTAGTCCCTATGCGCTTCAGAAATGAGTCCATTTTGTTGCGATTCAGAGGGGAATCTCAGATGGAAGTTCGGTCCATTAGATATTATTTCGTTAACTCATGTGGCAACCTTCGACCTGTTAGTGTAGCCACCTTTTTCTATGTGATTCCAAACAGTTAATTTTTTGGAATGTATAGCTCCTGAGAAACTTCTATTATTTCATCGACATTTCGACTATGGGTTTTCTGATCAGGGAGCATCATTGCATAAAAAATACCGAAAAGAAATCAGCGTAACCGAATTGTTTGACTCTTACACTATCAAGAGCAAAAACACCTTTAATATTTTCACCGGGCTGAATTGCGTTTTTGCGCACGAGCTCTACTACTGAGTTTAGTGATCAACGTTTCCCTAATTTTCTTTTTCAGCACAAAATAACATTTTTCTAATGTCTTTTCTAACCGAAAAAATATACAATCTATTGCAAAAATAATGGATGACTTGTTACTTGACCTGTAAATAATATTTTGAGCACGCTATAGTTTTTTCCCAGTGTCCCTGGTGCCATAGAGAG